TACAATCTCGTCTCGCTGTCACTACACGTATTAAATATTATATTACCTTATAGTATATTTTTAGTGCATAGTACAATCCATTTCTCTCAGTGTGCGAGCACCTTTGCAATATTTTAACGATTTAACGGAATTCAAAAGAGATTTCGAAATGGGCATTTCCACTTTCGTATTGACATTGTTATAAATAAAATAGTACATGTAAAGTCAATAAAACAATTTTTTACAATCGGCAAAACCTTATCATTTTATTTTAATGTCTTTTAACTCCGCAATGAATCTGTATACAGTGCGTCCACGATGAAAGAAATATAATATATATCTCGGTAAATGTCGACTTTACAAAAAAACATTTTATACAAAAGTTGTTTAATATTTTATTTGTCATAATAAGACTGCATTCAATTGTTTTTAATTAAGAACACAAATGGGTAACGAATAACACCAGAATTTTTTTAAATAGCCATGTACCCTTTTGTTAGGCTCATTTGATAGAGATTACTTTTCTCTTTACGATGACATATAATTTTTGTACCCTTACATCAGAAAATTTTTGAACAAAATGTAAAAATTGTTTATTAATAAAAATTAATCAATGACATTAATCTAGATCAACCACTGATTATTCGCTTATTAAATTCGTTTTTTTTTCTGATTACAAAAATATAGGGTTCGACAGGTCTATTTCTTATTGTTTTAGAATAAAGCTAAAAATAAACTTTTTTCATATAATTTCGATCTATAGTGCCGTCGACGAAATTAAATTTACAGTTTCCTGTAAATTACGGTACTATAACTAAAAATTAAAAATACATATTTCTGATATTTGAAACAAATATATTTGTTGAACAACACTTCAGAAAATTTTTGAATAAAAACAAATGTTGCTTTGATGACAAATGTTTATTTGAATTCGTAAAAAATATATGAGCGCCATCTATCAATAGTTTATTAAGTCATTTAATAATAATATTAAATATTAATAAAAAATGTGAAATAGTCTATTATTCCATAGTCAATCTATTCCAACTTTTATGTAAAACAAATATAAATTAAATAGTTCAACAAATATATTTGTTTCAAATATCAGAAATGTTTTTTTAATTTTTAGTTATAGTACCGTAATTTACAGGAAACTAAATTTAATTTCGTCGACGGCACTAGATCGAAATTTTATAAAAAAAAGTTTATTTTTAGCTTTATTCTAAAACAATAAGAAATAGACCTGTCGAACTCTATATTTCTGTAATCAGAAAAAAATAACGAATTTAATAAGCGAATAATCAGTGGTTTTTTCCATTTAAAAAACGGAAATTGTCATATCTCAAAATCTAAAAACCGAAAACATTTTTTTGACTACGTCATCAAATTCTCTGTAAAAAAGTGTCCATATAATTGTCTCAGTTATAATACTCCACCTATAATAATAGCGAAGATAATTGCAGTTGCTGGTTTTACGATATTTTGTATTTTGGCCTCTAGAGGAAAAACAAAAGACGACAGAGCTATGAGATTTTCGGCATTAGCAGTTTCTCGAAAAACGAGATCATGACATGTAAGCTACTTTTTTTCTAACTCTTATAGTTTCCGAGTTAGCCTATTCGGACATCGAGTTTGAACCATCCTGTACATCTCCAATAATTCGAGGCACTTGACGATCCAGGATATCTAGATTAATGTTAAAAAACATCAAGTGTTATTCGTCAATAAGTCATTAAACATTTGTTTTACATGGCACACTAGGTTAATATCGATATGTGTGCATTTTTCAAACAACCTTAATTATTTCCCAAACTATTAATGTTAGGTATAGGACATATGGGATATAAAAGATGTAAAATGAGACGCCGAAGACGACTATGTAATAAAATATTGGGGGTGCTATTTAAAAAATGAAGTTATGGTACTTCCAAACTTCGAAAAGTTAACGTGCCATAGTAAAGTGACCAAAGGATCTAGACAGCCGTTCTGAGCAGCAAAACATACTCCATCATGTTGCTTAAGCATGTTCTAAATCCTAAATTGATATCCCAAAAATCGAGTGTACTCAGATTTTTTGAACAAATGTCTCGAGACAAATATTGCAGAAAGTAAAGTTATTCATAAACCTCGAAAATAGACAAATCCAAATATATAAAAATATACCGGATGTTCCATTTAAAAAAATAAAGTAGGTGGCGACTTCCGGTATAACCGGAAGTGTTAGAAATCCGAAAATATTTTAGTCGAAGAGAATGCAATTATACTTAAATCTGAATTCTCAAATTTTTTTTTTGGCCAGAACCCCAGAAACGTCTAATGTCCGGTCTCGCTGAGACACCCTGTATACTATATTCCTTTCATCGTGAACGCATTGTATAATAGATCCTAAAATGCAATAATTAGTCCGCTCTAGCATAGAACAGATGGCAGAACAGGTGTTAATGAAACAGATCCTAATTTCTAAATTCCACCATTACCTCCCAATCAAAATCAATCAAATTGTAATTTGTAATAAAAATCGGTTAAAATGTTTTGTGCTGTAATTTGTAATGATAACTCCAACAAAATTATCTACTTTATTATTCTCGTATTTAAACTTTTTATTACCAATACTATCCGTTTCGTATCTAAAGAACTCCTCATATCGCTAACAATATCTCAGAAACCGTTAGATGAAAAGCTTGTTATAAAGTTATTTCTAACATGAGTCCTTAAGAAGGTACTGAATAAAAAACATGAAGAAGCTGGTAAAAAGACATCTCTAAGGATTAGGCAAATTAACTAGAAGAATCATAAAATTAGAAAAGATCGAACACCATAATATGGTGCATTTTACGATAACAGTCGACTACATACATTCTTGATTATAAATAAATTACTGATATATTTATACTTACAATTCGTCTTATTAAATTATTAAATAAACATTTTTAAATCAATGTCTTTTGTGTCAAGGAGTAATCTAAATATTTTAGATGTAGATATCGATTTGGGTAAAATGAAAAGACAAATTAAAATACCTGGCAAAAGTACCACATAGCGGAACACTTCAACAGATGACGCTTATAAAGCAACAGTAAAACGTCGTTAAATGGCAAATCTATGTAACATTATCTATGCGGACATGGACAGATATTACTAACTTAAGCACATCTTTACTACTGCTACTGCGGAAACCGAAGGCACTATTTTCTTTTACATATTGAGACATTCAATTACACTACATTATATAATTAAATAAATGTGAGTGTTTGAAAATAAATACCACCTAAAAACATAGCAAAGATATAAATTATTGTTTTAAATAATTTTGTTTACTCTTTGCAAGTTTTATTCAGTCCATTTTGATTATATTTGGTTATATTTATTGAATTAAAATTTATTGTTATTTATATTTATATTTTTTGAGATTATTATTTTGATTTTATTTGGCGTGTATTTTTATTACATATACAGGGGTATTTCGAAATTGGCGGATAATCTACACGTAGCGACATTCTACGACCGACTCTGAATCGAAAATCTTAATGTTAAAATGTTGTTCTACTATGTTGCCATATGTGTTTTTCATGAATTTTTTTTATTCTAAATTACAGCTTATTTATCATCAGATATTGAATATTAATGATTATTTATGGACAAATTATCCGACCTTTCAGAACTTCATGAAGACCTATAAAGCATGGGTACAACATTTTACTATTAAGATTTTCGCTTTAGAATCGAACGAAGAATGTCGCTACGTGTAGATTATCCGTCAATTTCTGAACAGCCTGTACATTTATCACAATTTGTTGTATACAAATTTACATATTATATAAAAAGAATGTACTTTTATTAGCAGATGACTTTATTCGTAACTTGCCAATTAGTCTCCAATTAATAAACAAATATACAGAACTGTATAGAATTCGATGGTGACACTCGAATAATAAGGATTTTCTGTATACTATGGTTTTAGTTTATTACTGTTTGCTTTCTTTATATTTCAGAATAATTCGATTAATTCTTTACACATTCCTACGATTCGTCATTAAAGAATTTAACACGTCTTGACTTCTAACAAATTCACGTAACATCAATACGGTTTTATTAACGTAAGGAGGAAAAAATACACGAACGAACACTTCGGCATACAAATTGATTCTGTCACACCCGAAGGTAAAAAACTAGATCCACAATTATTCTCGGAAATCTAACACCATCGGTTCTACGAGCGGTGTAAATCTCAAACGCCGATGCCGATACCGTTAGAGGGCCGACGGCAAGATTCTCACAGTTCGGTCGTTACGGAGGCATGTACAACATCGCATAGGGTCAACAAAAAAACACGACGATGCAATGGCTTTGGTATCGATCGTGATTATTAATTTAGAGCTCAACATTGCCATTGTTACGGGAAACGAAACTTTCTAGCATCGATTGCTTTGCTGAAAATTACACGTTTGAACTCTATAGACGCGTGTACTACACGATCGTTTCACTAAAATCAATAATAATGTTATTATCGGTATATACTTTTCCTTTAGTAGATATTTAAGTTTGACTGCTCAAGTACCGTATATGTAACAGTTTATCCTTGTAACCTATATCCTCGGGGATAGTTTTACTATATACAGAACAATTCAAAAGTAGATGGCAAACTCTAACATAGAGGACAACTTTTGCAAGAAATTTTTTTTTGAAATTGTTATCCTTAAAGTTATTATGTAATTATTATGTAAAGTAAGTGTGTAAAGTGGAATGTAACTAATATTTTTATAAATCAGCAATTATTTCACTTTCCCAGAATGCGGCTTCTGAAAACTAAAACATTTATTGTGCTGTTCTAAAGAAATTTATTTTATTGGGGAACTTATGAATTATTCATTTAGCCCTAACACACGATTAAAAAAATGTGTTTTTAACAACACACAATAAAAGAAGATTTCATAAAACAATTTAAAAAATTATAAACAAGAATTATTGCGATTCAATTAGAATTATGAACAGATATTGTTAATAATATTAAAAGACAATTGCTTATATAAAATAATTTTATTTAGTACATAAATATAAAAAGTACTATAAACATTTAATCATTTACTATTATTGGTGCCCAATGGCACCATCTGTTCCATATTTTCTTCTTTAGTCGGTCTTCTATTAGCATTTCGTCTCTTTTTACCCATGCACGAAGTAAAGCATGTATCACCAACACCGAAATTTTCTCCATCTTCTATTGATTGAGGCATAGGTGATCCTAATGTTTCCGGTAAGAACAGTGTTAAAAATCCAGATATTAAAGCAATCACGCCAAAAATCATGGCAGGTAAAGTTGGATCAAATGAATCTAACAAAGTTATTAATGGTGTCATAGCACCTGACAACCTCGCGCACATTGAACCTAATCCCAGAGCTGAATTTCGAACTACAGTAGGAAAAAGCTCAGCTGAATAGTTGTAAACAATAGCAAAAGAACTAGCAATCAAAAACTTTCCTATCATTACAACTGTTGTTGATTCTGTACTCCCTTGAGTCATCTTCGCTGCACCCAAGCAACAAATTCCTCCCGTCAGCATATAGAAAGCTATTAATCCTCGTCGTCCGGTTCGATCCATAATTAAAGAAGTTAAAATATAACTGGGAATTTCAACAAGACCCATCAAAAACAAGATTAAAAACGGGTTTCCAGACATTTTACCCGTACTCAAAGATAACCCGTAATAAGCAATGGAATTCGCAAACCAACACAAACATATATTTAATGTTTTATTTCTTAAATTCGGTGTTTTAAAAAGATCCATCATTCCAGCTTCTTCACTGGAAGCCTTTTCCTCCATGTTGTGTAATTTTACGTTTGAGCTATAGTCAGCTTCATCGACCTTAATATTACTTCCGTTCATTTTTAACGCTTTCTGAATAATTCTCACTGATTCTTTAACACGACCTTGAGCCCATAACCACCGTGGAGACTCGTCCATAATCCACCAATTTGCTATCAAAATCAAACTATGCAATCCGTATATCACTTGGAGAAGCTGTCGATCTTTGACTAACGCTCCCCATCCCGCAACCAACATAAATCCAAATGCAAAAGCACCTTGGAAAGCTATACCACAAGCTGTTCGTTTACTTGCACCAACTAATTCCATGGTCAGGACGAATCCTGGAATATAAGCGCCTGCAGATCCAACGATTCCATATAGGAATCTTATTACCAAGAAAGAATAGTATTCAGGGATGAAAGCAACTAAAACACCCAGGATCAACTGAAGTGTTGCCGACCAACAATAAACCGGTTTTCTTCCATATTTATCTGCAGCACTTCCTAACGTTATAGCACCCAGAAAAACACCGAACATATAAGATGATTGAGCTACAGCCCCCATCCATCTTCTATCACACACAAAATCCCATTCGATGCCTCTAGATGACTTGTAGTAAGTATCGTCGTATATCCAACGATTGCAACGTGTCGTTTCATTCGAAGATGTTCCGTTTATAAAAATATTGCAATTGTCGTAAGAACCGGTTTTTGATATAGGCACGTAATTGTCAGCTTCCGGATGATTATACATTGTGATGTTCGAGTGTTGGTCAATATCGGGAATGTAACATCTATTTTTAAAATTAAAAAAAACAAAATTTGTGATATCAGTAGGCTGCTGATTTCTTTAAAAAATAATACTTACCTATGATCCGGAACTGCACCAACGGTCACTAAAGATAACATGTGCATCCCAGCTGTAACACCAGATAATACGTGAAGGATGAATTGGAAACATTGATATTTTCCGAAATCGCCTAAAAGGAAAATCAAAATGTGTTACGTAACTATTTTATGCAGAGAAACTATTATTAGATTGCTTTTATTGGAATATTTAATGGATCGCGTGGTTAATTTATGAAGGTCGTTACGTTACGTCGTTTGCTTCCTGATGAATCTTCACAACAAAACAATAATCGCTGATACATATGGTTATTTATTAATTTGAATATTTGCAGCGCTAAATATACCTCATTGTAAAACGAGTCGCAAACAAATGATATCAAGAAAATCTTGAAATTTTAACGATTTTCTTTCAATTTCCAATTATGCGAAAATTACCTTTATAAATTGCATGAAACCTTTATGAATCGATAAGAGTTTAATAAAATAATATAGAAGTAAAATCTATTGAATATGGTTGAATTTGTAAGACTAAAATATTAATTTAATTGATTAATGTTTCTAGAATAAGATTTAAAGAATTCGATAAATAAAAGATTTCGTTGTAATAAATCCAGAAAGAAAAGTATAAAAGTTTAAGTGATCATTAAACATCCATTGACACCATTATTTGTTTTTCCATTCAGAGTAATCCGATTCAGTCTCGAATTATCACCAATTCTTTTGTGACCTATTTATAGGCAATTTTTATTACATGAAGCCGCAATCTATTTGAATGACGACACACAAAGAATTCATCTTTATTGACTCTGCTTGAATTTATGTAACGTTTATGTATACATAATAAATAAATATGAATTATCACTTTGACCATTTATTTATAAGTTACTGCTTAATAATAAAATAAATTGGGTTTATGTCGGTAGTTTTAATTGAAATTTACGCAACTTTAGATATTTTTTTATATTAAAAGAAATGTAACCAGTAATTTATTGTTAGAATGAAATTTGTTCTATATAACGCAATAATGAATTTTTTTTAAATTTATGTAACATTTTCTACATCAAAATACCTTCACAGATAACAAAGCGTGAATGTAATGGTCGTCATTAAGCAAATTAAATCTGCTTAGTAAATAAAAGTATTAAATTACTATGTAATATTAACATGTATAAATCTCTTTAACATATGTTTTAATGAAGCCTTTCAATTCGTGCAATGTGCCTATATGATTTACTACGTAACATGATGATTTAACGCCATCAACCTACCAATTACTAATGTGAAAATGTCTTTTTAAATTATATTAACTAAATACGTCCATTAATCGTTAATTGCGCACAATATAGAACAATTGTTTTCATACAGTACGGGAATTTAGATGTTTACTAAAACCACTTAAGTAGGTTAATGATCGAAGAAAAGACCCAAATTAAAAAATCCTTGAAAAATAATTTTTGTAAGCAACAGAAAACAATCCTAGTTTTAATTCAGTTAACATATGGTTGAATGAAAACCGATAACTAAAATCAGTGCTACTAAAATAACTAGATTTCACTTTCGTGCAAGAACTTTCTTATTCGCGAAAGAGAGAGCGGATGGATAGTGATTAGGCGAGTAACGGTGGAAGATCGGAGGAACCGGTGAAGTCGATAATGTGTTTTACTTTTGTTGGTTAGGTTTTTGTAATTACCTAAGTGGCCCATAAGAATGTCAAGATCTTGAGTATCCATGGTTGTTGTTCTTTATTACTTTGATTTGGTATGGTTCTTCGCTTCTAAAAATTTTTCAGTCGTTACTGGCGCTTAGTTTTTAGTAGGTTTAAGCTGTTGCCAGCGATCGGTTATCACAGATTGAAACACACAGATGATATTATAGATGATTTGATTCAAACCATTGGCATCTTGTCGTCGGCTGCACTACTGCTGTGGTCGGTTCTGAAGTATGGACAGGCGCCGCAGCACTTTCACGAGTCCGTCGTTACCTTGTCTTTCATTGGTGCCCGTTCTGACGCTGAACCGGTCCTTACTCCAACACCAATTTCCTCTCTTCTCTTCTCGCTACTAACCTTTTCTTTCACTTTTTTTCAATCTTTTTTCCAACTTCCTGTATTTAATCTTTAACAAAGTTTTCTTGAATAAATTTTCAGCGGGATACATCGACTCTTCCCGTCACGTTTATTTTGCACACTGTAAAACGATCCGTGCTGTTGCGTGTATGCGAGTTATATTGGAAATGGCACCAACGCAACTGATAAGATACGCGTATTTTTTTAGTTGGTTTTTAGTTTTGCGGTTTTGTGATAAAAATGAGCAAAAATTCTGGAGAGAAAATTATTTAAAGAAAGAAGATTAGGAAAGTGTAAGTACCTATTTATTAAACTGACATTAATGACACTTTGTTGTTCTCAGTATTTTGATTACTTTGAAAACGAATGTATTTAGATATCAATATACGATAGATATAATAAACAAATACTACAGAACTTTACATACCTTACGCTTTTTTTTTTTAAATTGTATCACCTTTAACTGCAAAATTACCATTAATGTTAAACTTTATCTTTAATACTAAACTTTATATAATAATAATAGTAATCCGAGTATATAATTAATATTATATATTGCAATTAATGTGGTTTATGCTAATTTTTGTATTAAATCGTAATATAAAAAAAGAGAGGAACAAGCATCACTTGTGCCTTTTATCTATTTTATGGGTACAGAGCAATGAAATTTATCATTAAACGCTCTTGAATATACAATTGCGGTTAATAATAAATTAGTTAATGATTAGTTGATTCTATGTTATGTAGAAATGTGAAAGCGTTTTTACTTAACCTGAATTTAATAAAGAATAAAAATAAGAAAACGTTAAAATTATACCGTCAAATCTATTCGAAATAACTAAATTAATAAAACTAACAAATTAAAAATTAATCGAAGAGAGAAAAATATTATATTTTGAAAATTCGTAAATTCAAAAATTTATATCCCAAAATGTTGGATATCTAATTTATTAATTTTATGATATTCTCTGAAAATGTTATATCTTAGCAGAAGATCACGATACAATAAGTTTGGAAAATACTATTATCCGTACCAATGAAGGCCTCTTGGTTTAATCAATATCTTCGCAACCACTTGATGAAATTTTCGGCTCAGCGGTTTTCTTTTTATCAAGAGTTAAATGAAAAAAGTACCCAATTTTTTAGGGTGCAGGCAATTTCTTTTGTCAAATTTCAATTTTGGACAGGTGGTAGCTGATGTGTTCTTATAAAGAAACATATTTTACAGAAACAACTTTGTAGATTTCAACACGGTTTTAACCAAAACTTTTTGAAAGTTATGTCTCTCTAATTTGTTTTAGAGAGATTTACTTCTTTCAAAAATGGATATCCATATTGGTAAACTACTGCCAATATGAGATTTAGAGAGATTTACGCAAATTATAAATTTAAAAGATAAACAGATATATGCCATGCGCGGAGAGATGGTTCCATCCAATCGGAAAAGATGATGTTGGTGTGTGTTCTACACTGGACGTCGCACCTTTATTTCTTTATGCAGGTAAAATGATATTGAGAATTATAAGTAAAATTATATTTTACGGATGTAGTACATATGTTTCCAGTGTGATCTTATACAGTGATCCATTTAAAAGTGGGGCAATCTCCTTGGAACAACCTCATAAAATTTGTATTTATTGTCCGATTTTGACAATTCTTTTTATGAATTGTAGAGCGTAGAAACTATACCTTAGGACAAAGTGTCTCATTTTGTTTACAAAAACCGGGGCCTATATAGTAAGTTTTAGAAGTGAAAATTTGGGAAATGATGTTAGGGATTTTTTTAAAAAATAATTATACAGGTTACCCAAAAGTAACGGATAAATTCGGTAGAAACATTAAAAACAGTGTATGGAAAAATCGCTGAGACGGATCTAATGATTTAAAGTTTTTGCAATTGTTTGGTACAGATTTCAAAATTTTTCCACCATTTTTTAAATAAGTAATGACGTCATCGATATTTTTTTCAAATAGCAATGCCCCATTTCCATTACGGAATATGAAAGAGGAATTTTTGCTGAATCTAGTAAAGTCGATTAATATTGTTTACATAAGAAAATTTCCGAGAAAAATTATCTTAAAGTTTCGTTATTTTTCACCATGTCATTCAACTGTTTCAGATATCAAAAATTAATCATTGTTTTAATATATAAAACATCTGAAACAACTGTTTGCCATGTTACGCATGTCTACTGCTATTTTTTACCTCAATCGAATGGAAAATCGTTAAAATTTAAGGCCATATTTCTCGAAAATTTTCTTATATAGATAATATTAATTTTGCCTATACCAAGTTTAGAAAAAGACCCTGTTTCATATTCCGTAATAAAAATGGGGAATTGCTATTTGAAAAAAATAACGATGACGTCATAACTTTCAAAAATTTTAAATCTATACTAAGAAATTGCAAAAAAAATTAAATCCTTAGACCTGTCTCAGCGATTTTCCATAAATCATTTTTAATTGTTTTAACGAATTTATCCTTTACTTTTGGGAAGCACTGTATATTAATTATTACAGATAAATTAAAAATAAATTGTTTGTTGGCAAAGATGTGATGAAGTAAATAGATAAAAACACTTTATTTTTACTTTAGCTGCAATTATTAATATGTCATCAATTCAAAGAGCGCTTAATCCACTGGTGTACTCAGATTTTTTGTATAAAATACCTAATATGTTTTTTTAAGTTTTCATCACTAAAAACTGATTTAATAAGCTTTAGTTTTTGCAATAAAAATATAAAACTATCTTAAAGTAGAGTTGTTTACGCTCTACAATATAAAATTTTAAGAGTATACACTTCTCTTCTTCCCAACTTTTGCTATTCTTTCCCCCCACTTCTATCCTTTTTCTTTGCTTCAAATACATTTTTTACTATTGTGTTATGTTCCATATAATTTTATTGTTGTTTTTCAAGTTTTTATTTTTGTTGTTAATAAATTTACTTTGTACGTATTAACTAATAATGACAGATTGCTCTACTTTTAATTTGTTTTCATAGGCACCTACGATTAATGAAACGTTCCAAAATGGAAGTTGTATTTTTTTGCGAATAACTTGAAAGCGAAGCGGCTAATCAAATCAAAATTTCTAAGAGTGAAAATAATTTTAAAATGAAGTAGACTTTTGGAAATAGTTGTAAAATTTAAGGGAAAATTTAAATTTAATTACGTGAAGTTTTTAGGAAATTACCTTAACATCCTGTGTTACCTTGTTCTATTAGCCGATTTCTTATGATAACATTGCATTGTTTACCAAATTTAATCTTTCTAAGTCAAACCATATTGAGAATATTTAAGAAATTTTTTACCTACATAAGGAAGTAAAGGCGCGACGTCCAGTCTGGAACTCAGGCAGCACCATTTTTTCCGATTGGACCGAGCCCCCCTCTCCCCGCATGGCTTATTTCTGTTAACCGTTTAATACTGATAACGAGATTCGACAAACGCAATTATTTGACATAGTTTGGTTAAAACCGCGTTGAAATCATCCCAGCCGATTTTGACATAACAGCATTGTAACATAAAATATACTTCTCATTAAAAAAATATCAGGTTACCATCTGTTCAAAAATTGAAATTTGGTCGTCAATTATTTTTGAGAAATAAAAATCGCAAACCGCCAAAACCTTAAAACCGCGTACTTTTTTCATTTATCTAGCTATAAAATTCACATACGTTACGTAGAAATATTTAGGGAATAGAACAAACTTTACCGCAATTATTTTTATAGAACGGTTGCGAAGACATCGATCTCTAAACTGAGGGGCCGTGTGTTTTGGCAAGGATAGTAATATGTCATAGTATTTGGTTTATTTAACATAACGTTAATCGAGTTTTATAAAATTTAGTCTTAAATATGTATACCGGGTGCCCTCAAAAGTGGCTCACCCCCATATTTTTCTTTATTATTGGTGATATAAGAAAACCATTTGGAATGCATAGTTAGGTCGCTAAAACGGATTATTACGACATGAAATCATTCTTTTTGTACTTCCGGTTACACCGGATGTGAGTACTAATTTCGCTATTTTTTTAAATCTATAATATTTTTTTCTTCAGTTGGGTAGACAGTATAATTTCACATAACTTTTACTTGATAAAATTTTCACGATCGCTTATAATTTTTGAAAAAAAAAAAATTATTTTCGTTATATTTTAACGTTTTAGTACCTTCGGAAAATGTATTACAACTTTTGACGCATAGTAGCTAGGTTAATAGTACAAACTACGTTATGTCCCTCTTGATTTGCTATTCCTCGAGCAATGATCACTGCTATGCTTTAGTTAGTGGTTCTTTTTTAATAATGGTGTAAAATAACAGTTGTATTAAATTAGTTTTAAAAGAAAAACGCTATCCAACAATTAAATTTAATTCAATTGTAAGTTCAAAAAATTGCGTATTGTCGATCTAACGACTCGACGTTATTCCAGCGGAGATATTTAGGTAATACAATTTCTAACTCGATTTATTTTCTAATACCTCACGAGACCTTACTGGTGTACTATACAGCTCATTTTTGATTTTGCCCCATAAAAAGAATCTAAAGGTGTGAGGTCAGGTGATCTGAGACGTTTTAACCAAAATAAAGTAAACAATCCAAATTATAATGTACAATGGACATTGTAAGTTACTATCATTGTAAGTTACAGAACATTTAGTGTAAAAGAACAAAAAATAAAGAAAAAATAAAAAATCAAAAATAATTGAATTAAACTTAATTGTTTGATCGCGTTTTTCTTTTAAAACTAATTTAATACAACTGTTAATTTACACCATTATTGAAAAAGAACCACTGACTAAAGCAGCGAAGTGATCACTGCTCGAGAAATAGCAAATCAAGAGGGACATAACGTAGTTTATACTATTAACCTAGCTACTATGCGTCAAAAGTTGTAATACATTTTCCGAAGGTACTAAAACGTTATAAAATAACGAAAATAATTTTTTTTTCAAAAATTATAAGTGATCGTGAAAATTTTTTCAAGTAAAAGAGTTGTGAAATTATACTATCAACCCAACTGAAGAAAAAAAAATTATAGATTTAAAAAATAGCGAAATTAGAACTCACATCCGGTATAACCGGAAGTACAAAAAGAATGATTTCATGTCGTAATAATCCGTTTTAGCGACCTAACTATGCATTCCAAATGGTTTTCTTATATCAC